GTCAGGAGCATCATGAGTGCCATTCTTGCACACATCGTTGTATCTCGACATCCCGTGGATTCCATTAAAGCCTACGAGGCGATTTATAGGCTCCCACCAAACTATAAAAAGTATCTGAGTCTGCATTTGCTAGCAACAGCATGGCCAATTACCACATAACTGTTATTGTAAGAGGGTGTGACAGATATGCTTAATTCAGTTGACCCCCATTGTGAAAAATCCGCGGCCTCGGTGGAATTCGAGCCCAAACAGCGGGAAAGTCTTTTATCCGGCCACTGAGTGAACCTGCATTGCTCCGCACGTTCCCCCTTCTTTCTCCCAGGCCCTTTCCGGGCTTCAAAAAACCCTCATTGCCGCGTACCAGCAATCTGTGCATGTATCACCCTTATCTGCGCATGTCTCAGACTGTTCTACTATTGCCTATGATTAAGAAAACCCGAGGGAATCCGAAACTTCCGGACAATAAACATCTTGTTCTATTGATCGCTTCTTCGTTTTCTGAACTGCTTACTGGAACTCGGATATTTAATTCTATGGGCTGCATATTATCAGCCCCAAACCCCCTCCAGCATCCCCATTACTAATCAGCCTGTAATGGTGAACGTTACAGGCCACATATTTACCCTGCATCTTTTATTCCTCTCCATATAAATTTGCTGGCCTGATACTAACTTATTGAAAAGCTAAATATGCTCGCCAAGTACACTTCTGATTATAGCTACTTGAATTATATCGTAGGATACGCGAGAACTTCTGATTTATATACAAAACGTTTGATATATGAAGGTTGACGTTACTTCCGTCTTTCTCATATATATTTCGTTTCTCACGAACTTGTTACCTCTTACTGCACAAATACGGCACCATTTCTGCCGCATAAAATATGTGACTGGGCGTAGAATTCCGCATAGGAAGAGTATTAAAGATTTATGATGTTAACATGCACACTAACCATACGCGCAACCTTAATCGAATCCTAACCTAAACGTAACACTAACCTCATAGTAACCCCATCCTTCAATTTAGCCAAAGTTGTAAATAAAGCTTAACTCCATCCTAACCTCCACATTCACAGTACTTTCTTTGATGGTAGGTGCGGGGCCCATGGGGTTACCAATATTTCTAAATGTAAAGAGCCTGTATAACAAGCAGGCAGGTTGTAAATTAAAACATAGTTCCCTAATTTGCACCATTATCCTTAGATTGTAAAGGAAACTGTTAGTTGCATTGGTTTAAGTTTCCTTTAAGGTTTTACTGCTCAAACAAGTACCTTAACATATTGTTTAGGGGTTTTTGGCAGATTTGCTCGATATATTTGACCCAATCTTCAAATAATTCGCGGCACCGGTTGGAATCGAAACCGCACAACAGGGAAGACCTTCGCGCAGCCAGAGCTCTACCACTTGCGCTATAACGCCACACCTTGCGTCGTGAACTTAATTACTCTTGGATCGATTTTGGCCGCCCAAATTTACCACTCAAATGGAATCGACCAATAAGGAACGGCAAGCTGACTGACCAAGCAGGATTTCCTAAGCAATCATCTAGAATCCACCAAGATGACTACTAGGCTGACTTAATTATTTAGGGGTTTTTTGGCAGATTTGCTTAATTTATTTGACTTAATTGTGAAAAAACGTTTACATATAGCTAAACAGCTCACAATGGCATTGCAAGTACTGGTAAATGATGATGCAGCAAAGACTAGTGCAGCTGCTGCGTGCATGTCCTCTTAGGAAAATGGTATTGGCTCTGGCCTAACTGTTCAGTTCTAATGGGAACCACGACATTGGTCGCTGTAAGGAGTACTCGTGACTTGGCCGGTATCATACAAGACGACCTCAAAACACGAGAACAATCAACTCTGGCAAGACCAAAAGTTCTGGCACTACTCTAGATGTTTAAAAGAGCTTGCACCTCCTGGTCGCTGAATATGGATCGTCAGCTTGGTTCCCGTGTACGAAGGGCGAGATGGCAGATATTGAATATGTCCGACGACTGGGATCAAGAATAGTACCGGAATTGAGGGCGCTGACATCTCTGAAACACTGTAAAGCGCTGAACATGTTAACCCTCGAAGTTCGACGCCTTAGAGACGACCAAATGCTGATGTACAAAGTGATAGTTTGCGGTGACATCCCAGAGCTAGCATGGTATTTCCAACTGGCCGTCGATACGCCTACGCGTGGAAATCGCTTTGAGTTAGTGGTACAACGGATGACCTCCCGCGCATCAACTGACTAATACAAGCGAACATGCGAGTCCCTGCAATCGAGTGACCTTCTGCTTCATCAATTGACTCACAAGGCGCGCTGTGAATGCATGGAATGATCCTATCCCGATTTTGTTGCTGTCTACACAGTTGCCGGGTTCAAGAAAGAAATACGATGTCTTATTTGAACCGTGATCTATACCGTTCATAGGAGTGCCCCCTCGTTGGGGGGTATTAATCCTACCTGAATCCTCCCATATGTCCGGCTGCTGCAAAAGGACGGTTTCCACGGATCCTTTCCTACCCTTTATTGATGAAACATGAAAGACGAAA